AAAAAAAAAAAAAAGTTGGGGGGTTTGATGCTTTTATAAGCTTAACTGTTTAGAAACTCAGTGGCTTTTTTGTTTGGCTTTATGCTATAGTTCCTGGGATTACAGGCATGTGCCACCATGCCTGGCTAATTTTGTATTTTTAGTAGAGATGGGGTTTCTCTATGTTGCCCAGGCTGGTCTCGAACTTCTGGCCTCATGTGATCCACCCACCTCAGCCTTCCAAAGTTCTGCGAGCCCCGGCAAGATCCCCTATTGTTAAGAAACAAAAAGTAACCCTAGTTTCATTTGTCTGTCTTAGAAATAATCAGAGTTTCCAAATGAACTGTAGTTAGTCTGAGACTGAGAAGACTGGAAGGAAAGAGGAGGCAAAATTGAGAATTCCTACAAAAGAGAAGCTCAAGGACATAGTCATGAGACATGCTGTGGTAACAAGAGGCTGATACATCTTTTTACCAGACCTTACCACTCTACCTAACATCAAGTGTGATTTGGAAGGGACTCATGTTCCCATCAAGTAACCTCTCGTCCTTTCTGGGCACCAGGTCTCACCAGCCCAGCCCACCCCTAGCACTGGGGGGCGACGGCGGCGCACAGTAGATGAAGATCCAGATGAGCGACGGCAGCGCTTTCTGGAGCGCAACCGGGCTGCAGCCTCCCGCTGCCGCCAAAAGCGAAAGCTGTGGGTGTCCTCCCTCGAGAAGAAGGCCGAAGAACTCACTTCTCAGAACATTCAACTGAGCGTGAGTGGATCCTGGATGATAATTGAAATTGTTGAAAATCTAGAAAGTGGGATGGAATCAGAAAAAAGTGGGACAATTTGATAGAAGATGCTAATTCTCTAATTAGGACAAATCTAGAAGCTGTGCCAGGAAGAATCTCTTAACAGTCAGAGCTGAAATCTCTTTCATAGGAGTTGGTGAAGACACTCACCATCTACCCCCCAAATCTGCTACTAGAGTTATTCATAAATGTGTTTAGATGAAGGAATTAGATTAAGCACCCCAGGGTGCTCTTTAAATCATCTGTAGAATCTGACTGGGGTCATATGTTTTTGCCCTGGATAATGCAGCTTAATAAAAGAGAGAAAGAAAAAAAGTGCTATAAGCACAAATAGAATAATTATAATCTATAAACCATACAGTCTCTTGAATGAATGTTATTTTTCTTTCTTCTGATTATTAAAATATTTAACTAAAAAGGCAATATATGAATACATATTTCTATTATAAAATACACACACAAATGTATAGAATAGAAACAAAGTCCCTCCTTAATCTACCTTTTCTAGTCCTGTTCTCTTCCCTGTAGATAGATTTGGCATGTACCTTCCAGACAGATTCATATTCCTAAATATTTTTTATTTATAGTTTTTGTGTAGGGCTGGAGGGGTTGTGTGCTTGTTTTAACATAAATAGGTTAATGGTATTTATCAAAAATCTAGCCATGGATATGGGAGATCTACCTCATT